CCAACTTTTGCTGATATTTACTAATATTATTATTCTTTTCGTTATTCGTGTACGAAACTGAATATTCTTAATTTACAGATATAACAATATATTCTAATGTTTAGTGCTAACTTATTATTTAAAAAGTGTTCTTCCCTTTATTTTTTTAACTTTCCAAAAAACTTAGCCATATTTCTCCTACTAACTATATTCGGATAGAAACTGATGAATAAGCTATGCCACGTTTCGCAACAGATCAACAATCCTGCTTTCAGACTATTTTGATAATCGCTTGTCCTTTCGAGTTACGGAGGCAGACTTGTAAGACAGTGCTTCAAACGTTTCTGATCCTGTGCCACAATCTGAGCATTGGCAAAAGATGTTCCGCATCGGAAGCACAGTCTGTCGAGACATACGATGTCCAAGAGGGGTCTTCAGCGCATCGGTTGAACAAACAGTGGCAGTTTCGCCTTACTTTCTGAAAGCATGACATGCGCGAAGCAACTAGTTGTGACTTACCAATCTGGGAAGCAGCGGCGTTACACCAAAGTCTAGCCATTCGTTTCAAAAAGCTCATTTCAGCCGCTTCTACCGGAAATCAACGATTTTCAGTTATGACCCACTATTGGCGACCGTCGGTAAGTATATGATGAAGATCGACTTGAACACAGAAAACCTAGTCTTCAAATTAATATTAACAGACTCATTTTCTACAACTGACAAAGTAAGTGAATTTCTCCACCTGCTTCATTGGATCCACTGTTTATCCGCAGGGAAAAAAAGAAAGCACTAGACATTGATTCGTCATCATACTAACAACGATGAAAACTATATGCTTCCAAAATGAGACAAAAAATAACTTCAGTGTTTTTCAAGCACATCATTTATTTCGCATAATATTTTATTTTGTTCTTTTTTCACATACATTACAGAAAAATTACTGCTTCGCAAACAACCTCAAAACTAGTGAATGGGTCCTAAAACCATTTTTAATCCTTGAAAAGCGTACAGAGCGAAAGAAACATTAGGAACCTTTGGCTGCCAATTAGAGGAGACCGGATACAAAATTTTAGCAAGGGAGAAGTCGAATAATACATATGGTTAACAATGGAACGGTGGCTTCAGAAAGTTTGCTCCGCAAAACTGAACACTTCTGATGTCAGTTTCGCAAACGACAATTATCTATAGAGAGAAATCGCGTTAATTAAACATGGATTAAAGAAAAATTACAAATTTGTTACAACAGTCTGAAATACCAAGCAACAGTCCGTTCGGAGGGTTTCAGTAGTGTTATAACTTCGCTTGAAGCTACATATAGGAGGGACGAGTTTGTTACTTGAAGTGATGACGTCTTTCCAGCTTTTATTTAAACATCAACGATAAGGACATATATCAGACATAATTATTTTTTAGAGAATTCAACGTCGTCCAGCTCTTGTATGGAAACACAAGGTGAAGTTCGAGGATAGGATCTAAGGTAAAATATTGGGTTTGATTATAAACTCGTTTCATGTGTGATTCACCATAAATGTTTAATGTCCTTATTGAAGAAATGTGGCCTATAGCTACTAACAGTCTTAGCAGAAAACCATATTAAAATGGGTGTTGAATAGAGTTGAGAAGCACAACCGGAAAAAGCAGCTCTTTAGAATATATATACTGTGACGCCACGCAGCAAGCATCATACAAGCCGTACGAGCGTATATACTACAGTAAGTGTAACAGCAGACTTATGCTGTCGATAAACAAATAAATAAACAAATTAATGCACCGAACTCGAAATGAATGATGTCAATATATCTGCAAAGCAAGATAAGAGAGGCACGGATAAGTATTCAATCAGGTAGTGTAAGTAATTTTGTGCATTTGAAAAAGGCAAATGAAAATCATTCTTCAATCAGGATGAAGTGCAAACTCAGACTTGTGGGACTCAGTATTTATGAATTCGCATCCTATGGATCTATCGCGGCTCTGCTCAGGTCAAAGAGAAAGAGCAAATAGCCTAAATTTTTCAAGACAATCGCTCGCTCTGCCTTTCAACTACTGCTGCGTTAATACTTATTTATTTCTAATATCCAACGTTCGTTTGAGTACGGAGGGAGCTACTTTTGAGGTTTTTCAAACGACGGTGATCCTTTGAAGGATCCTTTGGCCAAAAAAGTAAGTTCTAGCAGCCGGATTCCAAAAAACAACAATGTAGGTTACAAATCAGTCTGATTAAGCCATGTATTTGGCAGCGTCGAAACAGAGTTCTTCTTTCAGCCCTTTTGCCTGAAAAACAGCCACATTTCACCCAACTGAAATTAACATAATGACCACTGTTCATTCGCCTGAAACGTTAATAAAATGAACTGTAAAAACCCGGTCCTTAAAAAGTCATGCAGCCAGCCACTTTACTGAACATAGAGGAAATTTATAAGTACTCAAATTTCGGCTAGAAGTTCGTATACCTCAAAGCTAGCTAATTAATTACAGACTTTTCAAAATCACATGGAAAACGACAAAATTAGCATCGGCCCACTATGATGCATGGCTCTGAAACCATGCGTTTCAAACTGAACCGGCTGAACCTAGCCGACACCGGCTAACACATCCATATGGCAAAGTAGGGTTCATTCCTTTCAGTACGTTTACAGTTTCA